GCACCTGCAGGCACAACACACACCGAGGAAAGAGAAGAGAAAATGTACAAGATAGTTTCTAGTTTAGGATGGGTCCGTAAAACTAGAAAAAAATGAGGATTATTGGACAGGTTTTGGGAAACCCTTTGTGTGCCACTATTTTTGTATTACTCTCTTGTACCTACTATGTAAAGTGGAAGATAAATCTGAGTTTGTATCCGTGGACTGAGCCCTAAAAGTATTGAGGGTGAACCACGGTAAATTTCTGGTGTTCCATTTCTATTATTCCTTTTTTTTTACGCTTGCCGTAATTATTTTCTCTTATTGGGTTGAGAGAGGCCCAAAACCAACTGGTATCAGAGTCGATATCCTAAACAAGTGGTATCAGAGTTGATGGCCCAAAACAAGTGGTATCAGAGTCGATATCCTAACCAAGTGGTATCAGAACTGATGCCCAAAACACTGTATCAGAGGTCGATATCCTAACACATTGTACAAATGGCACAAGTTCATTACTTGGCTCGCTAAATAATTTCATGAGCTATATGATTAAAGGGTAAAGAAGATAATCCAGGAATTAATATCTATATGATCATTTTTCGTATCTATATGATCATTTTCGCTTTTAGAATTAGCGAAAAGCTTTTGAATTTTATCCATTTAAAAATAGCAAACAAGACCATGTGGTGTAGGTACTGTAAAGGCTATCCATGGAATATGCATATCCTCGCCATTTTTCCAACCGGAAAACAGATAACAGCATCTGTCATTATGAAGTGTCAGAAAGTTAGGTATTAGAGATACCTCTATAAAATTCAATCAACGACGTTAAAAGAACTCAACCAAAACCTCACTTCCACAAATAGCACCATATTTCTTTTTAGTGGCCATCAATTAGCTTTCTTCGCCTTGGTACATAAACTGGCAATAGAAGCTTCTCAAGTTCATTTTTCTTTCTTCTACTTAGCAAAAACTAACTCAATTATAAATAATGTCATTTTATATCCGATGAAAATGAAAATTAAAATATAGAAACGTAGAAACGAACATAAAGAAAAAAAAGTTATATATATATTCTTCTTATTAAGGTCAGAAGTTCGAGTTGTAAAAAAAAAAAAAAAAAATTATAGAGAGACATATTGAAACTTAAAACGAGGATAATGTTAATTTATAATCCTTGTTATAATCTTTGTTCTTATTAAAGATAAATAAAATTTTACTATTTATATAAAATAATTCTTCCCATTTTACTATTTCAATATATATAATTTATTATTCTATATATTAATTTATTATTCTCTATATTAATTGTTTCTTAGAAATTAACATAAAATATGAATCAAGCTTTCTTTCCTTTTTTTTTTTTTTCCTTTTAAAATGGAGAGCAAAGCTTAAAGAATTACAAGCATATTTTAGGATGATCTAAAATAAAGCTTTCTTTTTTTATTTTTTCTTTTTTTTTTTGTGTAAACCACCTGGTATCCGACACGGCGGACTAATCCGGATTCGGGTTCTGCAGAGACCCATTATGGGGGGTGACCAGTTTTCTCCATTCACACCCGAATATTGCTTAAAAGATCTAGCTTTCTTTAGTAATATTATTTTTCTCATACAATTGCTTACTCGTTTTTTTTTTTTTTTTTTTTTCTTTTTTAGTATAATCATAGATATCTCTAACCAACTAAGTTAGGACTAAATTCTGCTCAAATCAGGTCAGTCCCATTAAGGAGCGGTGGCATTCATTCATGAAAATCGATTCTTTTGCATTGAACTATTCATCGATTACGATTGCTACTATTTAACACGTTAATATGCACCTGCATAAATAAACTTGTTTTTAGTTTAATTCATATTAGTTAGGTATGTTATGGAGGTTGCTCAGCAAATGCATAATAGAGTTTATTACCTAAACTAAGTTTGCTTAGTCAAACTAACGAACGGAGGTTGAGAAAGTTAGCTACTACAGAGTATAGATCCCTGTATAAAATGCAATCAATACCATTTCAAACAAGAACAAAAACTAAGAGCGAAACCAAAAGGAAAAGACAAAAAAAAAAAAAAAAAAAAAAGAAAGGGCAAAATTTTACTTTTTTTTCAATAAAAAAAACAACTTAAAATTATACTTTTTCTCAATAAAAAACAATTTTTTCCGGTGAATGTTTTATTGAATGAATACGCTTATAGATCGAGTCTAAATAAATCAAAAACTTCAAAAATAATTAACAAGATCATGTGATGAAGATACCATAAAAATGAGAAATTTTTCTTTTTCTGTTTTTGGTTTCTCTCTTTATTCTTGTTCTTTTTTTTTTTTTTTTTTTTGGTGCTACTACTAATTTAAATTGTTTATTTTCATGACTTGATAAGAAAAAAAAAGTTAATTATTTTAAATACACCTGGTGTAAGTTAATCTTTCCATCCGTTGTAAGTTAATTATCTTATATATAAATTTTAGAACAGTCGTCAGAAATGGATCCATTTCATTGTCCAATTTCAAATGATTTTCTTGCCGGTTCAATCGTGTGTTTGTGATGTGTTATATAAAGCAGTTTTGGATATTAATTTTAAACAGATCTAAATAATTGATAGTGTGGATACCCACGTCACTTTTTTCCTTGTAATACCTTTAATTTGATTCAGACAGCATATGAAATTATAACGTGGGTCTGCTTAGTTAGTCATCTCATGTGGAACGTCGGCAAAAATAAAAAATAAAAAAATAAATAAAAATAAAAACAAAAATAAAAAGGGTTTGTTGCTGGCTAATAGTCTTTCATGTGCTCGAATGTTCAATACCTAATAAAAAACGTTCATTTTTGCTGAGGTGTCAGAAAGTTAGTTATAAAATTCAATCAACAACGTTAAAAGAACTCTAACCAAAATTTCACTTCCACAAATAGCACCATATTGCTTTTTGATGAGGAGCAACTGGCACTCAAGTTTATGGAAGACTTGGATCGCTGCAAATCTAAGCATGCCCCATGCTAGCCTCTGAGAGTTCCAGCACGTCCGTGCCGCCACCCTTACTAGAGTTTTATCTAATTACGTTTTTGTGTTATTTTTAGGGTTTTAATGTTTTAAAACTAAAACCTATAAATAGGTTAATTTGGTGTTATGAACACAATAATCATCTTTGATTATTATTCATATCAATAAACATCTTTGAAACTTTTAATTTTTTTATTTTATCCGACAGACCATATATTATTGATCAATACATTATTCTCATTCACATAACTGTTCTGCGTCACTTTTTAGTGGCCATCAATTTTTTAGTGGCCATCAATTAGTTTTCTTTGACTTGGTACATAAACTGGCAAAAGAAGCTTCTCAAGTTCATTTTTCTTTTTCCTACTTAGCAAAAACTAACTCAATTATAAATAATGTCATTTTATATCGGATGAAAATGAAAATTAAAATATAGAAACGTAGAAACGAACATAAAGAAAAAAGTATGAAAAAAGTATATATATAATATATATATATATATTATATATATATATATAATATAAAAAGAGAGAAAAATATAAAATCATTTAGTAGAAAAAAATTGATATTTATTGTGGAAATTATATATACGTATCCCTTGTTATAATCTTTGTCTAACAGAATAAATAAAAATTTTAACTATTTATATAAAATATTTCTTCCTATTTTACTATTTCATATATATCTATATATTAATTTATTATCTCTATATTAATTGTTCTAGAAATTAACAAAAAAATATGAATTTTTCTATGTTAATCAAGCTTCTTACCTTTTTTTTTTTCCTTTTTTTTTTTTTTCCTTTTAAAATGGAGAGCAAAGTTTAAAGAATTACAAGCATATTTTAGGATGAGCTAAAATCAAGCTTTTTTCTTTTTTTTTTTGTAAATCACCCGGTATCCGGCACTGACTAAGCCGGATTCGGGTTCTGCAGAGGCCCATTATGAGAGGTGACCGTTCCAACTTAGTTTTCTCCATTCACACCGGAATATTGCTTAAAAGATCAAGCTTTATTTAGTAATATTATTTTTCTCATACAATTGCTTACTCCATTTTTTTCAATGTAATCAAAAATATCTCTTGCCAACTAAGTTAGGACTAAATTCTGTTCAAATCAGGTCAGCCCATTAAGGAACAGTGGCATCCATCCATGAAAATCGAATCTTTTGCGTCAAACTACTCATCGATTACGATTGCTACTATTTAACACGTTAATATGCACCTGCATAAATAAACGTGTTTTTAGTTTAAATCATATTAGTTAGGTATGTTATGGAGGTTGCTTGGCGAATGCATTATAGAGTTTAGTACATAAACTAAGTTCATCTTTGCTTGGTCCAACTAACGAACGGAGGTTGAGAAAGTTAGCTACTGCAGAATATAGATCCCTGTATAAAATTCAATCAACACCATTGCAAACAAGAACAACAACCAAGATCGAAACCAAAAGGAAAAAAAAAAAAAAAAATCTTTCTTTCTTATATCCCTAATCTCTCTTAACAATGCCATTAACCCAAAGCTCATCACCACAAATTGCAGCAAGTCATGTAGCTGTGTGCACATTTCCATTTAGTAGCCATCCAATAGCTTTCTTCAACTTAGTTCGTAAGTTAGCCACAGAAGCTCCTCAAACTCAGTTTTCTTTCTTCAGCTTACCGAAAGTTTTCTTTCTTCAGCTTACCGAAAACAAACTCCATTATCAAGTCATCTCAAAAGAACTCTCCATTACCAACTAACCTTATGTCCTACGACGTAGACGATGGCATTCCGGAAGGAGTTAATCACTTAACAATAGATCATGCCGTGGAAGCCAGGTATTTCTTCGAACAGTTACCGTACAACTTCGAACGCCGTATTGAAGAAGTGCTGGCGGACACCGAGAGAACAACCGGTAGCCGGCGGGAAGTTACTTGCATAATGACGGATGCTGCTCTCTGTTCTCCGCTTGGAAAAATGGCGGAGGATATGAATGTTCCATTCCATGGATAGCCTTTATGCTAGCTCCTCCAAATGATCTTCTTTGCTTTTTTGAAATGGATAAAATTCAAAAGCTTTTCGCTAATGCTAAAAGCGAAAATGATAATGTAGATGTTATTCCTGGATTATCTTCTCTACCCTTTAAAGATTTGCCCCATGAAATACATTTAAGCAAGCCAAGTAATGAAATTGTGCCATATTTATATCGTATGGCACAAAAACTACCACAAGCAAAAGCTCTTTTGTTGAATACCTATGAAGAACTAAACCCAATTCCTCTCACAAATTATCTAAAATCAAAAGTTAAGAAAGAACTTACTCTAACATGGGTTGCTCAACCTTTATCGATTACACAGAGAATGATGGTAGTTCTTACTTCTTGCAGGTTGTTGATTTTCATGGCTCGCTAGACAAAAAAGTTTGCTTCTGTTGTCTTATAATCTTTGGAACAGTTGTAGAATGGGCAGTGAAAGTTAAATGCATTAGCTGAAGCAAATTGAATTAGTGGTAAGCCATTTCTCTGGTCTCTTAAAGTACAAATTGCAAGAAAATCTTCCAGAAGGGTTTCTTGAAAGAACAAAGAGAAAGGGAATGGTGGTTTCTTGGGCACCACAGAGAAAGATTCTGCAACATGGTTCAGTTGGTGTGTTTGTAACCCATGGAGGGTATCATTCATTGCAGGAGAGTATATTGAGTGGAGTGCCAATGATTTTTAGGTCAGTTTGGGCAGATAATCATATAAATGCAAAAATTGCAGAGGAGGTGTGGGGGATTGGAGTGAGAGTTGAAGATAGAGTTATCACTAAAAGTAGAATGGTTAAGTGTTTGGAAATAGTTTTTGAGCAGGAAAAAAAGAAGAAAATGAGACAGGCCTGTGATGAACTAAAACAAGTTTTGATCAAAGCTGATGGTCCTGATTCTGGTGCTGCTAAGAATCTGAAGACTTTGTCGCAGTTAATTAGTGGCTAAATTAGAGAGAAGAATGGTGTTATGATTTTTATGTATACTATACTTCTAAATAATTAAGAGTATACATATAACATACGTAAGAAAATAAATTAAGAGCAGGTCGAATTTTAATTTTAAATTTGTGGATGATGTACCATGCGTTTTGTGAAATTACTGTCAAATAAACCGCACTTATTTGCTATTTGATATATATATCTTATTTTTCACTCTTCAAAATATTAGACTTATGCATAAAGTTGTCTAGATTTTTAGGATTTTTTTCCATGTAGTAGCACCACGAAATTTTTTGAGTGACCCATCGTATGCCTCCTAAAGTTGTAATTTGCGGTAATAATTTTGCATCTTGGGTTTAATAGGTGCAATTTTAGAGACCATCAATGCTCCTGGAGGTGCTTATGAACAAGGTTTGTTTTAATTTTATTTTATAAGTTTTGTCTAACTAAAAGAAGTTGAAAGGCCATATATATAAATATGCCTTTTCTACCTTTATAAATTTTTCATTGCTTTTCAATCATTAATTTTGCTTGCATTAAAGAAGTTGGTACATAAACTGGCAATAGAAGCTTTCTCAAGGTCATTTTGCTTTTCAACCCTTTACATTCTATATGATTCGAGAGTATTGATTTAATAGGTAGCTCGTATTCCAACAGAATTGAAGTCAGAAATTCTTGATGTCCTTATCTTATGACTCCAACTTGGCTTGGGAGAATCCTAAAGCAGACAACCTCGGTTTAATTAATAATAATAATAATAATTTGACAAATGCATTTTTTTTTTTCTTTTTTGTTTGTCAACTTGCGGCCAATATACTCCTGTTCTGTTGTCTATACTCCTTCCGTTTCCAAAAGACTCATTTTTTAAAAAAAATTATTCAATTTATATATTTTACAATAAATTATTAAGTGAATGGACTATATTATTTTTAATTTGTTTAAGTTACTATCAATTATTGGAAAATTGAAACAATCAATGTTGATCGTATAAAGGGTAAAAACGGAAGAAATAATTTATTATTTATGAAATTCATAAATATGATAAGTATTTAAAAATACAATATTCTCCGTTCCTAAATACTTATCACACATAGAAAAGTACTGTGTTCTCAAATACGCTAGGTATTTAGAATCGGAGGAAGTATAAGTTTTGTAACAATTGTAGAATTGGGCAGTGAAGAGTGATATTAGTTGAAGCAATTGAATTCAGTCTTACTAAGCCATTTTTTGGTCACTTTCAAATGGGTTTCTTGCATGACGTGTTTGCGCGTAACGCATGTTCTTATCAAAAGAAAAGAAAAAAAAAAACACATGGTGGGTATAATTCTTATAAATGCATAAATTGCAGGTGTGTGGGGGATTTGATGTGAGAGTTGAGGGTATAATTATTAGACTAAATGATAAAAAGAAGTCTTAATCTTGACAATTTTTGTAATTTCCGCAATTGCGGTTATGAATTTATTTTTTCGTTATAATTATAGTCTCTGTTGTGTGTCTGCTGAAATAGTCATTCCACTTATTAGACTATCCCATTTATGAGGTGGTTCGAGCCATAAAAATAGTCATTTCCAGTAGCCTATAAATATGAAATGGTTCATGCACCTGTTACCAATAATTAAGGATAGATAACTAATAAAGTATTAGTTGAGATGATTAGTGACCACAATTTCTATAAGGATGAGAACGTAAATTCGATCTACGCGAAACACATTTTACTTGAGGATAAAAAAACTCCTGGTTAAAAAAAAAAAAAAAAAAAAAAAAAATGAGTTTAAAAAAAAATTACTTAAGCATTATTTAATATTTTTTAATTCTTATGAAAAATCAAAAAGTGTTGGAATCGATATAGTTACTGAACATATAATTATTCGCATATGCTTATCGCTTAATGTGAAAATATTAATTTATACATATAAATGTAGACTTGACTTTCTAAAAATAATTAAAGAACTGAATAGATAATATATATAATATATATATAACATATATATATAATATATATATATATTTTTTTTAAATTCCAGATCTTTGATGTTCAACATTTGCCAAAGTCCTTTATATATCCTTTCAAAAAAAAATAAGTCTTTATATATAAATATTGCCGTCATAGGAATAGCCTATATAATTTTAATTGATATATAATTGAAGAAACATGCGTCACCATCACATGTAATTAATTCTTGCATATATATATTATAATATTTTTTTTTTTTTTCTTTCTTGAAAATTTTTATTGCCAGCGTTCTTTCTTGAAAATTTTTTATTGCCAGCGAAATATTATATTTAATATTTCTAGAATTATGTTCATGAAAATTTACATTATTAGAAATATTCAATTTCGACAAATAAACACCCAACATGCACATTTTTTTTAATTTTTATTTAACTTAATTAAAGCAAGTCGTAAATCTCTTCGTGTGAGAACTTCTTAAATTAAGATCTAACTTAAAATAAAGTATGAAAGCATTGATTGGCTTAGGTCTCCTCATAATTATATCAATTAACTACTTATCCATAAAAATAAATCGTTTTGAGAATATTTAATAGTAACTAATAAAATTTTTTTAATTTTACTCTTAAACAGAATGATTATCTTTAATTCTCTATAATCTTTTTAAAGGATAATTTAATCAAATTAATGAACATTTTATTATAATTTAAGATACAATAAATATTTGCGAATGAAGGGAGTATTTTTTTTTTCTTTTATGAGAGACTCTAACTAAAACAAAAACTATGATAAATAAAGAGAAAGATATAAATATCATACAAATGCTATGAGATAGGGCTGCCCGAATTACGGTTTTTGAAATTGGAACCGTCGATTCAGAACCGGAACTGGCCAGAATTGGAACCGTATCGGAGAGGTTGCGGTTCGATTTCGGTTTTAAATTTTTAAAACCGTGAATAGGTGGTTTAGAGAACTGGTCGGAACCGAAGGTTTCGACAATCAGTGAGAACCAGTAGTTTCAACACATTTTTTTTTATTTTTATCAAAATCTCCAAATTAACCACTCTAACATCTGCAAATGGCTATATAATATCTAGTTATATTAACGGTATTTGTGTAAGTTAGATTTTTTTTACTTTAAAATTATGTAAAACCGATCGAAAAACCGTTGGTTTTGGAACCATTAAGGAACTAGAACCGTCGGTTTTACAATCGTTAACGAACTAAAACTGAAACCATACTCGGTCGGTTTTAAACTAAAATCAAAATTGTCAATTGCTGGTTTAGTTCTGATTCCACGTAACGAGCCTGGCCACCCCTACTATAATAAGATAACCGAAAAGAAATTGACGTGGGAGGACAGTTCAGAATCCATTTCAATGTCCAATTCAAAAGCTTAGTGTAACATCCTAGTGAGTTGAGTTGAGTTGGGTTGAACCAAACCTGGTTGGGGTAGAAAGAGATTAGAAGTGGACTTATTTGCAAATAAAGGTTATTATTTGCAAATAAAGGTTAGGACTTGTTTGCATTAAAATATACAGCTTGGGTATTAAGTTGTAGCCTTTGTACACTTGAGGTGCCAATTAGAGAGGTTATACAGCCAAGTCATTTCATCTAGAGACTACCCGTTCTTATCAACTCACTTTCCCATTTTCACGTTTCTCCTTCTCTTCTTACTTGTCCCGCCCATTTTCTTTCAATTGTCAACATAGTGAAGCATTAAGTCAACTTCAAGTAAGTAAAATTCCTTGAAGTGTGATGTTATTTCCTATTTCATTTAGTGATATTGGAGATGAGTTATGAGAATTCTTGTGTATAGGAGAAGAAAGTTGCAGAAAGAGAAGCTGAAACGAGTTCAACAAGCTTTTGACGTCAAGGTTTGATATCTCATGTTGTTTATTAGTTTCTTTGCATGTAAATTGTGTGGTGTTGCTAGTGAGATGATATGTTGCTTATTGTTGAGTGAGAAGATTGGATATGATGTGAAAACAGGGGATGACTATATGAAGTGGAAACATAGTTTGCTGGAAATTTTACCAACAACTTCATCTTGATTTTGAACCCTTTTAATGATGGAATTAGGAATTGTCATAGAAGAGTTATTTGTTCCTTTCTGTGTTAGCTTGACACGCGTTTTTGAATCACTCAATTTGGAATTAGCTATTGAGAGTTATGGCCAAAAGAATACAGACTGCACAGAATCACGTCGCGCGCTCGCGCATGCTGGAAAGCACGTCGCGCTCGCAACTTCCCATTGCGCGCTCGCGACTTATGCTGTGACACTCTTTTGCCTTTCATTTGCCATGTAATTACATTCCTTTGCTCAACATGCATGCATCCAATCATTTTTCAACAAAAATACAACCTAAGAACATGGATTAAAACAACATACAAGCATTTATATGAGCGCGCTCGCGACTTCATCTCCGCCGCGACTTGTGTGTGCGCGGTCGCGACTTCAGCCCAGAAAACACACTGACTCTAGATGCACAAGTCGCGCTCGCGACTTTTCACATACGCGGTCCGCCGACTTGAGCCAGAAACCCTCATGACTCTCCGTCGCAATTCTCGCGCCTCGCGATGTTCGCAAGGCGCTCCGGGCTCACGACTTATGCTGTGACCACTCTTTTGCCTTTCATTTTGCTATGTAATTACATTCCTTTTGCCTCAAACATGCATGCATCCAATCCATTTTACAAACAAAAATACAAACAATAAAGAACATGGATTAAAACAACATAGCAAGCATTTCATATGATGTGAAAATTCAAATCAAACATGATAACTATGAAGTTATTGCAACCATTTATGTGTTTGTTATATTATTATTGACATGTACATAATAAGCTCCATTGAGGTTAGGTAGAAACCATGTAGATAAGCTATGTCGCGACATAGAATAAACAGATGCGGCCCCATACAGTTTGGAACTCCGGTACAGGGGCCGTTGAGTGGATATGAATTATACAGGCCATAGCAGCCAAGCATACAGTATTCATACATTTATTACACTTATCACTACGGTTTTCACTATAACCTTATGGAGCCATACCAATATCTTGACATAAACATTTACATGAATTCATACAGTATCATATATAGAAAGAAAACATCAAGGGGTTAAAATGACATTATCATATGATTCGGGTGATTGTTTGTTGCCATATGTGTATTACCATATTCTTGCTACTTGCTATACGTGTATGTGCTTAATTACTTCTTTCTATGTTGAGATATCCACTGGGCTTGTATAGCTCAGCGAGTTACCTGTTTAACTCGCAGGTTTTTAAGACTGGTCTAGAGAGCGTCAGCTTACAACTGCAACAGTTCACCTGTAGAAGGCACAGTCTTCAGGGTAGCTTCTCATTTTGATGTGTATCTTTTTATATTCCTTTCATGGCATGTACAGGGCACACAGTTGGGCCCAGGTCATTTTGTAAACTAGTATCATGTTATGTATATATTCATTACATTATTAATGTAAACAACTTCTGTATTATAAAATAGTCAGTAACTATTATGACATCAGCATGTCAGAACATTTAGTCAACCAGTTTGTAACGTCTCGACTCGGTTCATTCGGGTTAACGGGTGGATTATGCCATCAGTATGTCAGAACATTTAGTCAACCAGTTTGTAACGTCTCGACTCGGTTCATTCGGGTTAACGGGTGGACCGGGAAGGGGTGTTACACTTAGTTTGTAAGTCAATATCCCCTCTCTAAAAACATTGAAAATCTGAATCTATTAATCACCTTTTAATAGATTATCGAAAGCCAATTGGGTGGTTCCAATGAGATATCAGTGCAAGTCCAAACCTAACAATTTACGATTTTAATTACTCTTTCTTTTATTTGTTATTTCTTTTTTGGATGTTCAAAAATATTTGCGAGATTTTTAAATTTAAATATGTAAATAATTATTTTTTTCATAATAACATTTATAATTGTTCATTAAATAAAAATTTTTTATTAATATCTTAATGAATTAAGGGTAAAAAATGACAAAATAATTTTTGTTGACTAAATTCTTAATATGCGTGTTATTTTAAGCCATGCAAATAAAATGAGACGGGAGTGGAAAATTTCATTGTCTAACATAGTTAACCTAAAAGAATGAAGAAGAAGAAAATAGAATATTTATCTGTAATATAAAAAACTTAAAATTTAAATAAAGTTTTTTCAGAAATGGATATTTGAGGTTTTGAATTCCTCACCTTGTAAATAAAGTTATTTTATAATGCACTTGTATTCATCCATTTGTATGTAGGTTCAATTTTTTTTTTTAAATATATTGAAAAAGATGTTTAATTTCTTTTTACAAGTTTAAAATTGAAAATCTCTCTTGGGATTTTATATTTTCATTACGGTATAATTTTCCATGGGGGTTACTACATTGTTTGTCATAGCCTATAAATTATATTTAGACATTTAATCTTCAAATAATTAAATGTAGATCTAGAGCAGTAGACGTATATATGGCTTTGCAAAGTCTTGCTCTACTTTTTATACATAATTATAATATACTCTCTCTGGTTGAATATAAATCGTTTAAAATTTTTTATATTGATAATTAAAAAATTAATTAATTTTTTAGATTATAACAAAAAGTTCATTAATTTAACTAAATCACCATTTATCTCACATCTTTAATAATTAATGTGTTTAATGTATATAATGGTGAAATTGAAAAAATTTCATTTATTATTTCTTAATATTTTCAAAACGACTTTAGTTAGAGTAACTAGATTAAGGAAGTGCAATTTTTCGGAAAGTATATAAAGTGCTTATGTTTGGTTTGCGTTATCAATTCACTTTGCGGGAAGTAGTTAAGTGCAATGAATTTATCAATTTATCATGTTATTTAAATACACTCAAACTTATATTATGCATATTATTGTAATTTGTAATTTGAGAGTAATTTATTTCCCATGGAGTTGATTTGCGTACTAAACACATTTAAATTATATTTTTTGGCAAATAATTTTCTTTCGAGAAAAAGGACATTTTGAATCAAATGAAGCCTCATACTCATGGACAAAGGGAGTGACAAAATGTTGACTAATTTGACTAAATTAGTATCATTAACTTGATTACAGATTGTTTTAGAAAATTATAGAAATAGCTAAAATATTTAATATATAAGGTTAATAATTCATCACTTACTCCTTAATATTAAAAAAAAAAAAACTAATCTAAAATGGATTATACAATATTATATAAAGTAAGAACTTCCAAGTCCACTTTTAATAATAAAATTAACACCTGTGATTAATTTATAGTCTTAGTCCACTTACACTAAATATTGATTGCAGATCTAATTACATTGATTGCACATGATCATGATCATAGAAATGGCAGTTAAAAAAATGACTTGTTTCTGAATTCAATTTTCATGGAAGCTCCATTTCTTCAACTCCTTTTTCTATATAAGCCTGCAATTATACACAGAAAAATATGAACAAATTGAAAACTAGTAAGCAAACAAGGAAAAACCTGGATTAATCCCAATGAGTGCCGCAACCCAGACATCCAATCAAAGTGGAGAAACTGAATTGGATTCAGTTTCTCAAACAAATCCTCAAAATCCAGTTCCAGTTGCTCATACAAGTCCTCAAAATCCAGTTCCAGGTCCTCAGCCAAGTTCTCAAATACCTGATCCACGTTCCCAAACAACATCCAGAGATGGTCAAAATCCTCAAAAACCACCTAAGAAGTTATCATGGTTAATAGGGTTGGCGTCACTGGTTTTGTTAGTTTTACCGATACCAATTCCCCAACCTGCTAAATTGGATGTAATGGCCGGAAACAGTACCCATTCGTCAAAATGGGTCAGTGACTGGTTGGATTCAGCAGAAGAAGAGACAGAAAATTTGAGTTTGAAGTGCAAGAAAGTGAAAGAAAAGAATGGAGGGTGGAAATTAGAGTGTGAGAAAGAAAATATTGGAGAAAAAGAAAACAAACCAACACCGTTTTACCTAAAATTGGAGGATTCTCGAGAACCAAACACATCGGGATCGGAGGATTCACTGTGTTGTCGTGCTTGTAGCCCTCCGAAACAGGGACGGTCAGTTAAAATTAATATAACTGGCAAATGGCTATGGGGTAAAATAAGAAGCCTTTGGCTTTATTCTCGCGCTACCTTCGGTCCACCCAAGGTACTAATTTTTACCCTTTATTCTTTCAACTCGTGATTTTTATTTTTTAATATTTATAATTATGAGGCTAAGTAAATAATTTCATTAATATTTGATTTGATGATACATAAATTCACCTAAGTAAAATTATTTTTATAACATATTAACACTTCCATTTCTTTTAACAGCATAGCAAGTCAATATTCATGTATTGCATATTTTTTCGGTTTAATTAAATATATTATATATTTACTAATATTAAAAAATTATTGATAGATAAGTAAGAAATTATTTCATTTAACTTCTCCACACTGACTCTACAAGTTTAGATACCTATATTTTAATTTGTGAAAAAAATGTGTTAAATTAGTCAGAATAATATTATGACCACATAGCAAGAGTAATCCTCTTTTTAAATAAACTTACTGAATTATTGAAATATTTTACGGTCGAAAGAACTCGAATCAAGAATAAAAAATTTAGAAGACAACTGTACTAAACATGATAGGCTATTTCACATACATAATTTAGTTTCCATGTGATACCATATATATCTAATACTTCTGTGAAATTATTCAAGAATAAGAAAAATCATTTCAATATGTCCATATTTTGTTAATAAAGAACAAATTTGTACTTCTATTCATGTAGATTTTCCTAGATGTGCTGTGATAACCTCTAAGACATCAAAAAATATTTTGAAAGAAAAGTTAATTGTGTGTTAGAGTTTTGAAAATTAGAGTAGTATATATAAAAGGGCGTTTCTTGGAATCTAAGTCGACATCTGAATAAGAATTCTATGTCAAATCTGAATAAGAAAACTGTCTCTGGTGAATATTTATATTCTATCAAGTAGGGGTTGCAAAATGCGCTTCCTTAGATCAAAGTGCATTTTCTGGGATTGAATTTATGTTTTCACCCTTATAGAGATTGAGATTACTTATTATTTCAACCAATACCTTATTAGTCTGTAGTTTGTTAATTATAATTATTTTATCCAATATACTAATTCTTATATATGTTTGAAAATTTGCAGTGTACACATTTCTCAGAAACTAAAATTAGCGACGACTTTGGTGAGCAGTTGTCAATTTTATTAGATGCAGAAATCACAAAACTACTACGATCATGTCCTGAAAAATCTAAAGAATGTATAAAACTTTACCCTGGAATTTTACGTAAAAAGTTTGATGAAAAATTCAAACATATACTTGGAGAAAAATTGGATTCAAATTCTAATGTTATCCAAGAATGGAATATACTCCAAGAAGGCGGGAATCAAAAACCAGATGATCAAATGGTTCATGAACAAGTTGAAGAAAAAGTGGAAGGTAATGTGCAATACTTTTAAACGGGAAAATTTATATATTGAAATTCTTTTATATATGGGTTCTTATTAATTTTTGTTTTTAATTTTTTTTATATCTAGGGTCTTTCAAATTCGAATTTAAGAGCTCCTGATGATGATCGAAGAGGGACTTACTGGCTAGGTCATCTATCATATGTATTTGGGATTTTTGGTACTTTATTTCGTTTAAGAATGCATATGTTTTTAAGGATTTTGATTGTAATAATAATGGAAATGTCATCTTAGTGAGGGAAAGAGAGAGCAATAAATTGTAGTCGACCTATTTATGATAAAAGAATTTTATTATGAATATACTCCCTTTGTTTTCTATATATGTTTCTTTGGTTTTTTTTTTTTCCCCCTTTCTAAATATGTGAAGTTTTGAGATTCTAATATTTCATTAAATATTTTCTTTTCTAATTTACCATTGTATCATTATTAATATTAATAGTCTATTTTAAACTTAAATTTACTTAAATCACGTGAATTATTATCTTTTTAAGAAGGACAATATGAATTTTTTTTTATTTTTGTTAAAATTTAATATATTTATTGTTTTTCCTAATTCTTGTGCAAAAATTAAACTACACATGTAAAAAAAACAGAGAGCGTTTTGAATAGTTAACATATTCCATGCATGAACTTTTAATTCGATTCAAACGACATGACAAAACAAGATAATGAATGACATTTGCCAAGCCAGCCTAAATGTCAAGTTGGAATTTTAATTATTGGACCCAACTCTTATAATAGTTAAGTCAAATACAAGAATTTATATATTCGATTCAAACGAAACATGACAAACACAGATAATGAATGACATTTGCACCAGCCCTAAATGTCAAGTTGGAAATTTTATGTATTGGACCCAACTCTTATAAATTATTGGACCCAACTCTTATAATAGTTAAGTCAAATACAAGAATTTATATATAAATAAATTTTATTAATAAAAGTCATTTATAAATGGAATAAGTTTATTATAAAATATTAAACATATAGAAAATATAAAATTATTTTTGTATTTCCAAAAACTTTTATGTTCTAACTATATTAAGCGATACAATTTTAATAATTTATAAATTACTTTTGATAAATTTCTCATAAATTTTACTTTCAAGGTAAATATCTCTTATGCCTTTGTTATTACCATATATATATAAATCCTAAAAAAATCATAGCATGGAAAGGAAATGGTACCTAAAGAATAACCTACGTACCCTTTCCATAATCCATAATTAAAGATACTCCTGCACGTACTCTCGTGTTTTGAAGTTTACGTTCATTATGATTAACCAAACATCTCTAGATTTGGATAGTAAATATAAAAAATGCATAAGGGGAGTAGCAGCAAATCTCATGTTCAGAGTCCTTTTTATTATCAAAGTTGCCATCAATTTAATGAATATGATTTAAAATGAAAAATTATCCTATTGTTAAATGGGTTTGGAATGAACAAAGATAGTAAAATTTTAAAAGGGCTCAGATACAGGTAATTAAATGTATGTTTAAATAGGTTTGGAATGTAGACGAGTAGTAAAATTTAAAATAGATACGATTACGAGTAGTTCTAAATTCACGAGATTTATTTCGATTATATTTCTAATGTCATTATTTAATATTGCTATACGCATTACACGAATTCGAACACTAGTGTAATTAATAACCTAGATGTAGTACACAAAACATATCCATGGCAATTAATGCCATGTTCAATGGAAATATAAACAAAATTAAGGGAATGAAAATTGGTTGCAATCAGAAGTCATTCTTTATTTATTTGCTTGTATCGAGAAGGAAATTAATTAATGGGTTGGACTAATTAAGTAGGAGCATTGGAGAATATTAATTAATAGATCACATGGGCATTGGGATGATGCATTCTTAATTAATTAATTAATTAATTAATGACTTTTTTGCTTTCATTAGAATAAGTATTCCCTATGGAATGTAATACATTTGAGCTTTCAAGATAATTACATGTAGATCAGAGCTTACGTATGGTTGATTGCGTCATGCTTAATTACGTTTATATGAGGAAATTTATAATAGAACAAACTAGCGGAATTGAAATCCGAATGAAAATTTAAAAAATAAACCAGAATTAAACTGAACATGTAATATTGCATGGCCACATGAGCTGTTTGAATTTGAAGATGGTTGCCTAATTGTTAAAGAACGGTTGAAGATGGAGATCGATCTATAAGGTTTTATATATTTATATTTTTCATAGTACGTGAGAATTACATGCTAATAATTAATTAATTCTCTTCCATTAAAAAATTTGCTAAACTTGAAATCATATACATTCTCTAAATCAACCCATATTGTTAGCATCTAGCTTTCCATAATCTAGGATTTGATATTATAAGCCAGTTGTATTGCTTTCCATAATCTAGGATTTGATATTATAAGCCAGTTGTATTTTTTAAAAAATAAAAAATAAAACAACTTGTCAATTCATCAATAATGCATATAAGTCAACTATATTATAATATTTTCATAGGAATAAGAAATACAAATATAAAAAATATAAAAATAATAACATGTTATGCATGTTATAAAAAAACTGGTACATATAAATATGGAAATAGAGAAAATAATTGGATTTCTAAAACTATCCTTACTAACGTTAAATATATCCTAAATTCTCCTTAGAAATGGCCAACTAAAATATTTTAATGAAATAATAATTAAAATTTTCAAAATTTTATTTTTTATTTTTTATATTGATTAAATGTTATTTTTTTAACCCAAATACTCTCATGTGATTCAAACCCTTTGATTTTGTAATTTTATGCGCTTACATAATTTGTTTGTAAGTGAACAGTAGAAATATTCTCATTTCAATAAATAATTATTTTCCATTAATTTGATCCATGCATTTTTTTATAGATCGGGTCTAGACGTGTCAATTACACAAATTGATCCATGAAAAAATTAAAAGGGCGGAATGTAACACATTTGACCTTCCAAGTAATTAAATGTAGATCAGAGCAATTGTCGACTTCTTGTGGAATTTGTCACATGCCTATTAGGGTTTACGTATGCTTGATTACGTCATGCTTAATTACAATTATAAACATTTAATGTGCAATAAATTACATGTAGATCCATAAGGGCAGGAGACTCATAACTACACTTTCCGAAGTCTTCTTCCTCATTATTATTGATTTTAGCATCGTGCTTGGAATACCTATGATTGGCCAACTAATAAGCACCTTTTGAGTTTATGGATGATTTTTATAAAATCATATGTTGAATACATACAAAAAGAATTTTTGGAGAACAGATAATCATAAATTTTAAAATCTATATAATATATAAAAGTAAAGAAGTTTATCTTAAATGATAACTAAGTGTAAATTTCTTAAATTGTAAAGTGTAAGGAGTTCAGCACAATTGTAAAATTTTAAAGGTATATGAATTTTCGCAGATATCGTATCCGTTTAATGAGTACTTTAAATAAGTTTGAGATGAATATAGGTAGTAAAATTTTAAAAGGGTTCAGATACGGATAATTAAATAGATATTTATACAAATTTGGATCGGATACAAGTAATAAAATTTTAAATATATACGGTTCCAAGTAGTTTAAAATTAATTAATAGTCATGAGAAGTCATTCTT